AACTGTGTTTACCTTTTTATAATGAAATAAAGTACATGTTAAAGGACTTTACAAAGTGCAAACTGCTATATGACAGAAGTGGTGGTGGGGAAAGATGTTTCCTGTCATATCTGGAAGAAAGCAATGGGAGCAAATACACAAATAAACACAAGAATCGTTAATGATATGTAAAGCATGAATGTTTAATTCCTAGTCGTTGGTTCCATTTCTCATTTTGGAAGAAAACAGTTGAGAAAGGAATACTTACCAAGAATATAATTTGCAAATACCTAAAGAATTCCATCCAATATTGGATGCTTGGAGAAACAAAAGACTAAATTGAGACACCTGAGTTAAGAGTATACAAAGCCAGAGAAATAATTTAACTTCTGAAAACATTTTAAGAAGAAGAGGTTAAAACTAAACTCAGTCCTGGGATGAACTGTGTCCCCCTCGAACCTGTGTGCTGATGTCCTAACACCCAGGGCTGAGGCTGTGACTGCAAGGTTAACTCAGTGTGACTGACATCCTCATTAGAAAAGAAAATTAGGACACACACATGTACTGAAGAACAGGGAAAAGCCATCTACAAACCATGGAGAAAGAGGAATCAAGCTTTCCAACACCTTGATCTCTGAGGTACAGCTTCCAGAATTGAGAAAACAGTTTCTGTTGTGTGAGAACCCAGTTCGAGGTACTTTGTCATGGCAGCGCCAGCAAACGAATACACTCAGTTTTTCTAGAACCCATGAGGAAAATCTCTGGGAAAGAGTTCCACAAAAACTGAGGTAAGCAAACTAAAATAATCCTTAGAAGTATTCTATTTTACCTTCACCACTTACCGTGAATATTAACTTCAGTTAGAATGTCCTAACTATAAACCTGAGTTGACAAACTCTTAAATCAACCCGGTTTTCTCACCACTTCTCATATTCTTGCAGAGAGAAGCCACCCTTTCACAAGCAGCGCACAGCACGGAAGCTAGGCATGTCTACTGATTTTCTGAATTTTAAGTGCATCATGGATTCCATGTTTTTAAAGTTAATAGCAGTAGGGATTGAATGACCATCGTATCAGAGGGACTGACGAAGTCCATCCCAACTTCTCAGATAAATATCCATTAAATTATCAAACAAACAAGCATAGCAGCACAGCATTCCTGACTTTCCTTATGGATCTGGATCCTAGATTCAGAAATACAGGCAACCTAGGTGCCAGCACATAATTCCTGTGGCTCCCAGGCAAGGCTCAGGTCTTTCTTCAACTATACCTTTTTTTTTTTTTTTTTTAATGGGAAGTATATGAAATTCAATTCATTGACTGAAATCCTAGTTTGCTACACCAGCCTATCTGGAACACTTACTTCTTTATTCTTTATGATTAGCAGTGTTTCTAAAATATTTTCCATCTGTACCTTTTATTTTTAATTATGGTAAAATACATTTAGCATCAAAATTGCTATCTTAACCATTTGAAATTTTTTTAATTTATCTTTTTATCTGAAAGGCAGAAAGAGATATCCAGAGACAGAGAGAAAGCTCCCATTCACCAGTTAACTCCTCAAATGCCTGCAACAGATAGACATGGGCCAGGTTTAAGCCAGAACTGGAAACTCAATCCAGGTCTCCCACATGGGCAAAGGGACCCAGCTACTTGAGCCATCACCTGCTGCTTCCCAGGGTCCACATTTTTTTTTTAAATTGCATTTCTTTTCTAGGTATTTTTTTTTTTTAGGCTTTATTTATTTATTTGAAAGGCAGAGTTACAGAGAGGCAGAGGTCAAGGCAGAGAGAGAGAGAGAGAGAGAGAGAGAGAGAATCTTCCATCTGCTTCTTCACTCTCCAAATGGCCTCAATGGCTGAAGCTGGGCCTATCTGAAGCCAGGAGCCTAGAGCTAATTTTGAGTCTCCCATTTGGGTGTAAGGGCCCAAGGACTTAGGCCATCTTCTGCTGCTTTCTCAGATACATTAGCGGGGAGTTTGATCAGAAGTGAAGCAGCTGGGACTCGAACCAGTGCCCAAATGGGATGCCGGCACTGCAGGCAATGGTTTTACCTGCTGTACTATAGCGCCAGTCCCTCCCATTAGCAGGAACCTGGAATCAGAAACTGGGCTGGGCCTTGACAGATAGAGTTACAGACAGTGAAAGAGACAGAGAGAAAGGTCTTCCTTCCTTCTATTGGCTCACCCCTCAAATGGCCGCAGCGGTCGGAGCTGTGCCGACCCAAAGCCAGGAGCCAGGTGCTTCTTCCTGGTCTCCCATGTGGGTGCAAGGGCCCAAGGACTTGGGCCATCCTTCACTGCTATCCCGGGCCACAGCAGAGACCTGGACTGGAACATGAGCACCAGGACAGAACCAGCACCCATATGGGATACCGGCGCCTCAGGCGGAGGATTAACCAAGTGAGCCACAGCACTGGCCCCAATATATTCATATTATTATGCAAACCAATCTACAGAACCATTTCATGTTTTTTTTTTTTTTTTAAGATTTATTTATTTATTTGAAAGTCAGAGTTCAAAGAGAGAGGAGAAGCAGAGAGAGACAGAGGTCTTCCATCCACTGGTTCACTCCACAGCTGATTGCAACGGCTGGAGCTGTGCCGATCCGAAGCCAGGAGCCAGGAGCTTCTTCCCGGTCTCCCACATGGGTGCAGGGGCCCAAGGACTTTGGGCCATCCTCTACTGCTTTCCCAGACCATAGTAGAGAGCTAGATCAGGAGTGGAGCAGCTGGGTCTTGAACCGGTACCCATATGGGATACCGGTGCTTCAGGCCAGGGTGTTAACCCTCTGCGCCGCAGCGCTGGCCCCACTGTTCCATCTTATAAAACTAAAGCTCTATACTCATTAAATAACAACTGCCCATTACAACCTGGAAACCACCACTTTACTTCTTGTTTTTATGAATTCAACTGATTTAAACACCTCACATGTGTGTCTGTAGAATTATAAATTATTTGTTTTGGGGACTGGCCTATTTCATCTATCATAATATCCTCAACGTCCATCCATTCTATGGCACGTGTTAGAACTTCCTTCCTTTTGAATACTAAAAAAATCTCATTGTGTGTATATGCATTTCCTTTATACATTCACCCACCAATGGATTCCTGGGGAGCATCTACCTCTTTGCAACTGTGAAAATGTTCCTATAAAAATGAGTGTGTAGGGGCCAGCACTGTGGCATAGCAGGTAAAGCTGCTGCTTGTGGTGCCAGCATCCCATTTGGGTGCTGGTTCGACTCCTGGAGGCTCCACTTTCGATCCAGCTCTCTGCTATGACCTGGGAAAGCAGTAGAAGATGGCCCAACTGCTTGGGCCCCTGCACCGGCATGGGAGACTCGGAAGAAGCTCCTGGCCCTGGCTGCGGATCAGCCCAACTCTGGCTATTGCAGCCATTTGGGGAGTGAACCAGAGGATGGAAGACCTCTCTCTCTCTCTCTCTCTGCCTCAGCTTTTGTCTCTCTGTAACTCTGCCTCTCAAATAAATAAATAATCTTTAAAAAAAAAAAAAAAAGGAAGAAAATGAGTGTGTAAATATCTCTGAGGCTCTGCTTTTAATTCTTATGGACCTCTACAAGAAGTGGAATTGCTCACTTGTATCTTTTCTGCTCCTGTTAATTTCTAATTACTTATACTTTAACAGATGTCTTTAAATTTATAGTCTTTTTTAAAATTTTATTTATTTATTTGACAGGTATAGTTACAGACAGTGAAAGAGAGAGACAGAGAGAAAGGTCTTCCTTCCATTGGTTCACTCTCCAATTGGCCGCAACAGCCAGAGCTGCGCCGATCCGAAGCCAGGAGCCAGGTGATTCTTCCTGGTCTCCCATGTGTGTGCAGAGCCCAAGGCCTTGGGCCATCTTCTACTGCTTTCCCAGGCCACAGCAGAGAGCTGGACTGGAAGAGGAGTAACCAGGACTAGAATTGGCGCCCATGTGGGATGCTGGTGCCACAGGTGGAAGATTAACCTAGTGCGCCACGGTGCTGGCCCCAAATTTATAGTCTTAAATTCACTATCAAGAGAGTAGAAGAGAAAGCCAGGTAGACAACAAAAGAAAGCTAAATACCCTCATGGGGACATCAAAATAAAGGATCACTTTTATAAATTATTATTGAACATAGCTTAGTTACTTTTTTGGGGGAAGGGGGGGTTGAAGGGTATAATATATCTTCTTTTTTTTTAAGTTTTATTTAAAAAAATTTATTTTTTATTTTTTATTTATTTATTTTTTTGACAGGCAGAGTGGACAGTGAGAGAGAGAGAGACAGAGAGAAAGGTCTTCCTTTGCCGTTGGTTCACCCTCCAATGGCCGCCACGGCTGGCGCGCTGCAACCAGCGCACCGTGCAGATCCGATGGAAGGAGCCAGGTACTTCTCCTGGTCTCCCATGTGAGTGTAGGGCCCAAGCACTTGGGCCATCCTCCACTGTACTCCCTGGCCACAGCAGAGAGCTGGCCTGGAAGAGGGGCAACCGGGACAGAATCCGGTGCCCCGACCGGGACTAGAACCCGGTGTGCCGGCACTGCAAGGCGGAGGATTAGCCTAGTGAGCCGTGGCGCCGGCCATAATATATCTTCTTAAGACTCTAATAAGTCTGAAGATTATCCCAGAAAAAATGCATGTAGAAAGGTGCACCAGAAGTACCAACACTTTCAGGAGATTTGGAGCCTCTGAAGTCCATCCTCACAGCCTGCATCTTAAAGGCTACAAACTCAGTAAGGCCAGAAACTGAGTTTTGAATTCTACTAGAAGCTAAATACCAAAAAAGACTATCCAGACTCAAAGAACCGTATGATCTGGATCTATTCGTGAGTCATTAACTCGATACTCTCTCAATTCCATCATTAGCTATCTAGATCTAAGAGCTCTAATTCAGAAATAATGAAAGCTGTACTTTGTCTTTTACAAGAATCCCCAAAAACTATGCATTTAATGCTGATTGAGGCATAGAGAGGAAACAAAAAAAATGTGAAAATGCAGTCTAAAAATCAGCACATGTAACAGTGGAATTTGACTCACAAAATCTGTTTCGAGTTTTCCCATTTCTTGCTTGTAGCTTCTCATTCTGTTGCTGTACATTCCTCGACTTTGGGGTGGTATCTCTCGAACTTCCAAATCCATCTGTTCAAGCTAGGAGGAGGAGAGAAAAACATGCTTTAAACCAAACCATATGCTTGCTCTTGACTCCAAGTTTAGAGCTGAAAGAATTTAATTTCAAATAATCATTTTAAAGTTGAGGAACCAGGCCCATGGTGCTGAATGCCCATAATCAAATAACACTATAAGTACTCTTGTGCTTAATTTTTTTTTTTTTTTAGTTCAACAGTTACTGAGTTCTTGCCAACTGACACTCAGAGTGCCAACGTGTTTGTTAAGAATTCTTTTAAAACATATGGATTGATCCAAACTTTGTTAATACTTTTATTTCAATATCCTTAGAATAGCCTATCATTCAGTGGCAACTGGTCTGGTCTTCTGACCAAGAACCTCCACAATTATAGAAGATAAATCCAATCATTACTTCCTGTGGCTAATCCGTGAAACCTCCACCCAGCCTCACTCGGTGAAATTTCTCCTGGAAAAGTCTTTTCTGATGAGGAAAATCACATACCAGCCAACACGTGATCTCAACCTCCAGGCTAACCCCTTATACTTTGTAAGCGTGTTGACAGAACGGTAATGTGGTGAATTGCACAAAGCGCACTGAAAACACAATGGGCAGTTACCATGTGGAACTGCAGGAGTTCCACAGTGGTTCAGAGCATGGTCTTCAGAGTCAGAGTATGTTCTCACCATAAGCTCTGCTACTTGCTAGTCATGGAAACTTGGGGCAGATTTCTTAACACCTCCGTGCCTTATTTTCCTCATTTCTAAAAATACCTGTCCTTGGGCAGCTGTGAAGATTAAGTGAGATAATTCCTCATAATGTGCTTAGAACACTGTCTTATGTGGTGATTGCTAGGTTAAAGTTAACTATAATAAAGATGATTACTGGTGATGAAGACAAAATACAGCAAGCACTATCAAAGGAACCAGAAGTAACTTTGCTTGTGTTTGACCCAAAAATGTAAGAATAGCAAATCAACCCAGGCAAATCAATTATTTGAAATCACCCTACAAGGTGAGTAAGATCATCCAGACAAGTAATTAACAAAAGTACACGTGGGGGTCAGTGTTGTGGCACAGTGGGTTAACCCAGTGCTTGTAATGCCAGAATCTCACGTAGTGTTGGTTTGAGTCCTGGATATTCTGCTTCTGATCCAGATCCTCCCTAATTTGCTAGGGAAGGCAGGAGAAGATGGCTCAAGTGCATAGGCCCCTGCCACCCATGTGGAGCACTAGGATGGAGTTCTTAGCTCCTGGCTTCAGCCTGGCCCTGCTCCAGTTGTTGCATCCATTTGGGAAGTGAACCAGTGGGTGGAAGATCTCTTTCCGTCTTTGTTTCTCCCTCTTTCTGTTACTCTTCCAAATAAATAAATAAATCTTTTTTAAAAAGGTACAAGTAAATACATATTTGTTTATGGCATTTTACAGAGATATATAAAACCAAATTAAAAGTAGATAAGAAAGAACAAGGAAATACAACAATGAAATCAGTAAAAAGGCTAACATGTACTCGTTTCATTGTCACAACTCTAACATGGCAATGCGGAGTGAAAAACATGAAAATTATAATACATGCGGTGTCCAGGAGATTAATGCAAACCAGTTGTTCAACAAAAACACAACTAACTCTAATAATCTAATCAAAAACAAGGTTTTTGTTTTTGTTTTTTTTCTCTCAAGGTCTCCATCAAAAGTATGGAAAATAATGACATGAACATGTGTTTGTTTACCAAGGATGTCTTCAGATTAACATACATCAGCTTTCTTTTGTTGAACAAACAGAAACATACATCTTGGACAAAGCCCATTAGTAATAAGGAAAGGTAACTCTAAGTTCCAGGACAGTACAGCTATGCTTTATACTTTTTGGACAGTAAAACCTTGGTTTATCAGAAGAGCTGTTTTCTCACAACATCAGGCAAACAGAACATCTCCAGAAGGCAAAGAAACATGAACACACAGATTTTGATGGTAAAAAAGCTGCTTGCTGTGAATAATATAAGAATTTGATTCCTGATCCAAAGAATTGATCAGTTGTACTAATTTTTCTTAAGACTTATTTTATTTATTTGAAAGAGTTACAGAGAAAGGGAGAGAGGGAGAGAGGTCTTCCATCTGCTGGTTCACTCCCAGATGGTCGCAATGGCCAGAGCTGGGTCAATTTGAAACCAGGAGCCAGGAGCTTCTTCTGGGTCCCCCATGTGGATGCAGGGGCCCAAGGACTTGAGCTATCTTCTACTGCTTTCCCAGGCACATTAGTAGGTAGCTGGATGGAAAGAGGAGCAGTGGGGACTCGAACCAGCATCCATATGGGATGCTGGCACTGCAGGCCGGGGCTTTAACCTGCTGACTACAGCACCAGGCTTGACCAGTTGTACTATTAATGGTTACTTTGCCAAACAGAGGAAGAAGTGGCCTGGTTGGTGCTATGGAATGAAAAAATTCAGTCCTTCTACCTGAAGGTGAGGAAGCAGTTGAATATAAAAAGAAAGTAAGGAGAAAAGCACTAGAGAAAAGAAACTTTCCAAGGCAGGCAAACACTAGAAGCTATGATAGCAGCAGCAGAGGTCAGAAGTAGACCTTATGGGGTATGGAGAACATCAGACATTCTGATGGCTGGGAAAGAACTAGTGACAGAGCAGATAGAGCAGCCACTCTGTAGCTCCATTGCTAGCCCTTGAAAACATATAGGCAATGTTTACTGAGCAATGGGTATAACGGCCACCTAATCTTGAATACCCCCTAAAGCTGCAGCCCCTTTTGTATGGACCTATTAATACTGAATCTCAGTCAAGTAAACCTGGGAAAGCTCCAGTCTCCACCTGTCCTCTAGAGTCTCTTTGTGGAGATTGATAATATTTTTAGTCTACTGAAGAGTTGAGGGTTTGGGGCTGGTGCTGTGGTGTAATGGGTAACGCCACTGCCTGGTACTGGCATCCCATATGGGCACTGGTTCAAGTCCCAGCTGCTCCAGTTCTGATCCAGCTCTCTGCTGTGGCCTGGGAAAGCAGTAGAAGATGGCCCAAGTCCTTGGGCCCCTGCACCCGCATGGGGGACCCAGAAGAAGCTCCTGGTTCTAGCTTCGGACTGGCGCAGCACCAGCTGTTGCAGCCTCTGGGGAGTGAACCAGTGGATGTAAGACCTCCATTTCTCTCTTTCTCTCTGCCTCTGCCTCTCTGAGACTCTGCCTTTCAAATAAATAAATCTTTTTTAAAAAAGTTGAAAGTTCTAGAAAAACAGTTAATCAAAAAGATCTCCACTTCCAACTTCAAACTTACTGAAACAAGTAATATCAGTTAACAAAAACACACTTTGAGGGGCCAGCATTGTGGCATAGTGAGTAAAGCCACCACCACCTGCAGTGCCGGCATCCCATTTGGGCACTGGTTTGAATCCTGGCTGCTCCACTTCCAATCCATCTCCCTACTGGTGTACCTGGAAAAGCAGCAGAAGATGGCCCAGGTCCTTGAGTCCCTGCACCCACATGAGAGACATGGATCCTGGCTCCTGGCTTTGGACTGGCCCAGCCTCAGCCATTACGGCCATTTAGGGAGTGAACCAGTGGATCGAAGACCCCTGTCTGTCCGTCTCTCTCTCTCTAACTCTACCTTTCAAATCAATAAAAAACCAACCAAACAAAAACCCACACTTTGAGGAACTGTCCAAAGTATATCTGTAAGTAGTGCTGAAAGGGCACCATGTAGTACCCTTCAATATTTAGAAAAGAAAATCACTCATTAGCACCACAACACACAGTAACAAGTTGAATCATACTTGCAATAGTTGGTTTTTAAAACTAAAAATTGAGGGGCTAGTGCTGTGGCTAGCCTGCAGCACCAGCATCCCATATGGGGGTGGATCCAAGTCCCAGCTGCTCATTTCTGATCCAGCTCTCTACTATGGCCTGGGAAAGCAGTAGAGGACAGCTCAAGTCCTTGGGCCCCTGCACCAGCGTGGGGGACCAGGAGGAGGACCCTGGCTTCTGGCTTCAGATTAGCTCAGCTCTGGCTGTTGCAGTCATTTGGGGAGTGAACCAGCAGATGGAAGACCTCTCTCTGGCTCTCCTTCTCCCTATAACTTTGTCTTTTCTCTCTTCCTGTAACTCTGCCTTTCAAATAAATAAATACATCTTATTTATTTGAAAGGCAGAGTTACAGGGAGAGATAAAAAGAGAAAGAGACAGACAGACAGAGTCTTCCATCCACTGGTTCACTCCCCAGATGACCGCAATGGCCAGAGCTGCACCGATCTGAAGCCAGGAGCCAGGAGCTTCTTCTGGGTCTCCCATGCGGGTGCAGGGGCCCAAGGACTTGGGCTATCTTCCACTGCTTTCCCAGGCCATAGCATAGAACTGGATTGGAAGTGGAGCAGCCAGGATTTGAACTGGTACCCGTATGGGACGCCAGCACTGCACGCGGCAGCTTTATCCACTACACCATAGCGCCGGCCCCAAATAAATCTTTAAAAAGAGGAAAAAAAAAAAAAACTAAAAATTGAGACACAATATTTTAATACCTCTTTACCCCCTGACTCATATTTATTTCCATGAAAGAGTAGTGGAAATCCATGGCTCTGGATTTAGCCTTTGTGGGTACTGGTCCTTAGTGCACCACCTAACAAGGTGTGTGACTTCAGGCATGTGACTTAATCTGTCCATGCCCAGTTTACGTATCTATGGAACAAAGGTATTAAGAATAACCTCAAGGCTGGCGCCGCGACTCACTAGGCTAATCCTCCATAAGGCACACCGGGTTCTAGTCCCGGTCGGGGAGCTGGATTCTGTCCCAGTTGCCCCTCTTCCAGGCCAGCTCTCTGCTGTGGCCAGGGAGTGCAGTGGAGGATGGTCCAAGTGCGTGGGCCCTGCACCCCATGGGAGACCAGGATAAGTACCTGGCTCCTGCCATTGGATCAGCGTGGTATGCCAGCCGCAGCGCGCCAGCCGCAGCGGACATTGGAGGGTGAACCAATGGCAAAGGAAGACCTTTCTCTCTGTCTCTCTCTCTCACTGTCCACTCTGCCTGTCAAAAAAAAAAAAAAAAGAATAACTCCAACATGGTTCTCTTGTCCGCTAAGACATCTTGCTGGATGTGTCAAGAATGCGAGTCCTGATCACTTGGTCCAGGCAATTTTTAGGCCATTTTTAGGAGCCATGATTGCAGAGAGCAACTTTGAATATGAAAATAACATGTCTGCCCTCTTTAACAAGCAGGCTTGCTTCCATGCTGCTAAAATGTGGCACACTTCCCAGGATAGCGCTCCTTCCCGATACGGTTTTCCACTGCTTGTGTAGACACACATCCAGGCCCACCTGTGTCACCTGGGGTACCAGGAACTGATGGAACCAGGCTGAATCTCTTGCAGCTGCTTTTAGTAAGTCTTTGATCTCTGATCTAGGAGCATCATGTCTTCTCTAAGCATCCACGAAACTGGTGCGCCTACTTAGCTTGTAAGTAGGGGAAAATTTCAGACACATCAGAGTTTTTGACAAACAGTACTTATCTCATAGGGTTTTTGGGAAAATTATACATTACAAAGCAATTAATATGTTTATACTTTTTTAAAAAATCAGGTTTACTTATTAAAGGCAGAGTGAGAGAGAGAGAGACCTTCTCTGCACTGGTTTACTCCCCAAATGGCCACAAACAGCCAGGGCTGGTCCAGGCTGAAGCTAGGAGCCTGGAGCTCCATCTGGGTCTCCCAAACAGGCAGCAGGAACTCAAGTATTTTGGCCATCTTCTACTGCTTTCCCAGGTGCATTAGCAGGGAGCTGGATTGGAAGCGGAGCCACAGGAACTCAAACCAAGGCTCTGATAAGGCCAGGCAGCAGTTTAACCCACCATGCCACAATGCCAGCCATGCAAGCAATATGCTTAATGCAGTGTATAGTAGCCAGCATTCCTTAATCAAAAAAGTATTATGAAGGACTAACATTGAGGGGTAGATATTAAATGAACCACCTATACTAAAAGGAATAAAATCCTAAGAAACCATTACATTCTGTGATGAATTCTCAATTATAAAATGCTAATCAGTAATGTTTCATACTCCCACAGCATGTGAAACAGACAGGAAGGCATCAGCTTAAAGGGCTCTGGTTGAGTATTAAAATACATTAGCAAGTCTGGCCGGCGCCGCGGCTCACTAGGCTAATCCTCCGCCTAGCGGCGCCGGCACACCGGGTTCTAGTCCCGGTCGGGGTGCCGGATTCTGTCCCGGTTGCCCCTCTTCCAGGCCAGCCCTCTGCTGTGGCCAGGGAGTGCAGTGGAGGATGGCCCAGGTGCTTGGGCCCTGCACCCCATGGGAGACCAGGAAAAGCACCTGGCTCCTGGCTCCTGCCATCGGATCAGCGCGGTGCGCCGGCCGCAGCGCGCCAGCCGCGGCGGCCATTGGAGGGTGAACCAACGGCAAAAGGAAGACCTTTCTCTCTGTCTCTCTCTCTCTCACTGTCCACTCTGCCTGTCATAAAAAAAAAAAAAAAAATACATTAGCAAGTCTGGACATACCAGTTCCTTCGCTTCTTCAAGCTGCTTCTCCACATTTGCAACCATCTGTTTCTTCTCATCTGAAATAAACAATAGCATCGATAAACTGCTAAGGATACAAATAAATTTAATATTCAAAAGGTTTATTTTTATGTACTTTTCTCCCTCTGGTCAATCAGATTAGATAATACAAGGCAAATGAGCGTATCATTCTTTGGTATGTTAGAAACTAAGCCGTTGGTTTTAGCCTATCTAGAATTATAATCCTAAGGAGCACTAATCGTTAAATGATACCAAAAGTTTTTAACAAAGACTTAAATAATTTTGTTCTTTAGGAAAAACCATGTCAACACAGCAGGGGGTAGGGAGGAGTTGAGGGGGAGGTAGATGTGAGGAGAAAAGTCAAAGTTTGGATAAGAAGGTCTTTTTTGGTCTAGCACTGTGGCGTCGTGGATAGAAGCTGCTGTCTGCAGTACAGGCACCCCCATATGGGCACTGGTTAGAGCCCTGGCTACTCCACTTCTGATCCATCTCTCTGCTGTAGCCTAGGAAAGCAGTAGAAGATGGCCCAAGTCCTCAGGACACACTGCAATTCGAGTGGGAGGCCTGGTCCTGGAAGCTCCTGGCTCCTGGCTTAGGATCAGCCTAGCTCTGGCCGTTGCTGCTGTTTGGGGAGTGAACCAGCAGATGGAACACCTCTCTCTCTCTTTCTCTCTCTCTGCCTTTGTCTTTCTGTAACTTTGTCTTTCAAATAAATAAATCTTTAAAAAGAAAGAAAGACTTTTTCTCTCTCCTAGTGATGAGCACAGGAGTCCAGAAGCTGCTGGCATCCATTAGTCTAGCTTTAAAGTGAAAGCAAGCTTTCAGTGGTTAAAACGAACACAGCATTTGGAAAAAACAAAGTAGAATGAGAGCTACAGTTAATTAGTTCCTAGTTCTAAATAACTGAAAGGTTTTCCTTGATTTCATCATAGTTTGGTTTTTCCTGTATTTAAAAATTCTTTTCTTTTCCTTTTTTTAACATTTGATTTATGTCACGTGGAACCAAATGAGACTCACAACAAGACACGAAACTTGAAATGAGCACAACACCTTTTAGTTGAGCAGCGCTTCGGAAGGTTAGTCAATCCTAAGTGGGGAATACTTAGGAGAACTTATTTTACTAGAATGCAATTATATTTTGCTAATCCCAATCCTTCCACTTCATTATTCTCAAATCAGGAGAGGATGGCTGTCACCTAAAATGTTTTGTGTATACTCTAAATATGTTTCCTTAAGAAAAACATACTATGGAATTTGAATTCAGCTTAATTTTCCCTCTTCGAAAAAGTTAAATCTGCATATAGCCAGATTAAAAATTTAATATGTGCGTAAATTTATTGGCTTCTGTAACATCACAGTCCTCCTAATATCTCCACACAGAGAAGAACAGCACAAGATTTTGGTAATAGAGCAGAAAACAAAATAAGACAAGCCCATCTCAGATTAGGAGTGAGACTACGTATTTACACATCAGAAAGAACATCTTGTTAAGGAAATCCAACCCTTGGACAGACCAACAAGCATCAATTTTCCTTACTGACAAAACGAAGCAAAGAAAGCTGCCTCCCTTGACCGGCATTCTCTTTGCTACTAGTGTCCCTCTCCTTTCATCCACATTACTCTCTTGAAAGCAAGGGCGGATATTGTTTCCCTTCCTCTTCTCCACATCCACTCCCTAAAATGTAACTCCTGTCCCCACTATTCCACCACAAGGATTGCCACTAAGATTAATGACCTTCCCTTCGCTTGGCCCTACGTTAACTTGGTCCTGTGGTTTCTGACACCCTGCTCCACCCATCCCATAATTTCCTTATCTCCTGGCTTCCATCACACCCCGATCTTGGGATTCTCCTGAGATTCACTTTTGTCTCAGTAGCCTCTGCTCGGCATCCTCTTTTTCAACTGGTTTTTTAACTGCTGGTGTTCCCTGGAGTTCAGTCACTGCTTCTCTTATGGTTATAACCTACGTTCTTGGGCAATTTCACCCACTTACCTCTCGTATTATGTATTTTTCATCCTAAACTTTTATCTCTGATCTGGATAGTATTTACTAATCAATCAACTCTTAATCCCAATGTTAATGCTCTTCTTCACCATAGCATTTAGCAGCAAAGTGACATTCAAATTCTACTCAAAAGTCACCACCTCTTTGAAACCTTTTCTAATCCCCTTGCCCTAAAAAGAGTTATTTATCTTCTCTTACATAAAATAACTTTTAAAAAGGAAATTTACTTATTTATTGAGAGGCAGGGTTACAGAGAAAGAAAAGGAGAGATGGAGATCTTCCATCTGCTGGTTCACTCTCTAAAAGGCCCAACGACAGGGGCTGGGCTGGGCCAAAGCCAGGAGCTTCCTCTAGGTCTCCCACATGGTGCAGGGGTGCAGGGGCCCAAGCACTAGGGCCATCCTCTGCTGCTTTCCCAGGGAGCTGGAGTGGAAGTGGAGCAGCCAGGACTCCAACCAGCACCCATATAGGATGCTGGCACTGCAGGTTGTGGCTTTAACCTGTTGTGCCACAGTGCTGGCCTCACCTATAACTCTTACATAATTATGATGATTTCTCTCTCACACTAACAGATCTGATTGACTTTTCAGCTTGGGAGCTCCAGCAAGACAGGAACCAAGTTTTAATCACCTTTACAGTTCTAGAATTTAGCGATAAGTCTGGTGTATGTAATCCGTTCTCCCAAAATGATGGTAAATTGAATAAATGATGCAAGATTGTGGAAGCATTTACAAAAGAAGCTGTGCTGCCAACCACCCTGGCTCCCAGTCCCCGCGTCTGCCTCAAGGGCAACTGGACTGCATGACTTGACTTCAGCAGTTAAGGCCTTCGATTTACAGACTCAACGAACCTTTCTGTTTTTCCAACTATGAGCTCCCCAGTATGTACTCCACACACTAAACAGACAGATTATTCACTATTATCTAAGCAAATCTCATTTCTGTACTTTCTCCAAACCCTTTTTAAACTACCATTTAGGGTTCTGTTACTTAAAGCAAGAGAACTGATTCTGGCCAACCTAAGCTGAAGGAGGGCAGGGAGGAGGAGGAGAGGGAGAGAGAGACTATGAATGTCATTTATTAGAATAACATGAGGTGGCTCACTGAATCAAGGGAAAAAATGAGTCACCAGGCCTGAGGAGGGCAGTGTCAGGGCTGATTCAGACACCAAGGAGCAGGGACTTAATCACAGCCTCTGCAAAGGAGCCTGGAGCAGCTCCCAATAGTTTCCCTTCTTGGGTCCTTCTGCTTGAAACTGTAGTTCTCTAATGGAAAACTGAGTGTTGTTATGTTAGAATGAAGATGCTGGGCAGTATGAAATAACAGATATGCATTGTGCTTGCTTATTGTAACCTCTTATAACAGTCTTTCCCCATTTCTGTCTGTCCAAACCCCACCTATCCTTCCAGGTAGTCTTTTGAGACTGCATCTCCTCTTCTCTGGATTCCTAAAGCTCTCTGCTGTGCTGGAGGAGCCTAGTGGTCAATAGAAATTAGTCTACTGTGATTTCCTCTTCGGTCTCATCTTCACTCCTTGAAGGCAGGGACCACTCGACACACCTTTGCTTCATGTGTATATTTAGCACCAAGAGCTGTACCTCGTGGGGACTTTCTAAGCACTTACTGAATAAATGGATCAGTCTTAGCATCCCACAACATATTTGTTACGGAGAAACTGAGAAAAAGAAAAATGGTATCAATGGGACAAATAAATCCTGCCACTTGAAATGGTAAGTTTCTCTTTCAGAAATACCCTAAGATTGGGATGGCGGAAACGTAATACAAAGAAGTCATTTTCCCGCACAATTCATTTCACGATGGCATTGTTGGACATAATGATGGAACCCAGGCATCTGTGATGGGCTCACTACAGCATTGTTTGCATTCAAGGATTTAAAAGATGAGCTTAAGGGTGTCATCTACCCAGAATGACATCTCCTTTACGAATGGCATGTGCCCAGGCAGCAGACCTGTTCACTAACAGCTATCATTACTGCGCAGGAGACTCTGTGTTTAACATTATCATAGCCCATCCTTCAAATAACACCCACAGAGATACAGACATAGGCACACATATGTTTACATGTGCATATATATACATTATTGAAAGGGAAATAAAACATAAATATTTAATTTTTTATGAGATGTAACTGGGCCACTTGTATCAGCTGAAGGCTGTTTTCCCCATATGTTCAACTGGAAAGATTGGATCTTGCCCAGCAGCTCTTATGCTGACATGAGATAGCCTGATTCCTAATGAGGAACAAACTCCTGAATTAGAACTCTAACTATCCCTTCAAATCTAACTCTCCAGGCCAATGGAAACAAAGTAATGCAAGTCACACATGCAAACCTAAATTTTCTAGTAGCCTATTTTTAAAAAGAAACAAGCAAATAAAATTAGTTTTAATGAGATTTTTAGTGTTGATAATATTTAACCCAATATATCAAAATATTAGCCACATTTCAAGTGTTCAGTAGCTGCTTGAAGATACTACAGCCCTAAAGCCACACATATTTGAAGCAAATCATAAGATTCATAAATAAAAGCAGTCTCTTCTAAGTTCCTTCACTACAACAACCTTGCAAAGCTAAGACATAATCATGGAACCATGTCCATGGCTTCTTCCATACCTGGTTATGTCTGGACAGCCTCCTAAATCTTCAGGGCTTGCATCCACCAAGACGCAAGCATTTCCTTCCAGAAAGGACTCCTGTCTTGCCCCCACCACCACCATTTTCATTCCTCTCCTGTGATTCCCTGCTTGACAGCCTCTGAGCTCAAAGTCCAATTCCAATTTTGTATCCAAAAGCCCTTTATCATTCACCTCCTTCCAAATGTAAATGATCAAAAAAAAAAAAAAATCACCTCACTCTAGTCTAGGAAGCAAGAATTGAGCTCCAAGTTTCCCTGAATATTTCAATAAATATAACAGTCTGAAGAGCTGGGTCTCGCCAACACTAACAGCAACAGCAGAATCACAAAGGGCTACCTGATTATACTTTCTCTGTGCAAGAACTGTGCCCGTGTGTCACATGCTTTGTTTCACTAGTTTTTTATATCATGGTAAAACTCAAACTATCACTCTTCACCCCATTCCACAGATGGGTGCTGGGGGTGAGCCTGCTTAAGGAGGCCAGGCAATCTGTGCATGATCATACATCTAGTAAGTAGTAACACTGGGATTCTCAACAGATTTGATAGTGTGTCTGCATCTTAACCACTTTCCTATAATCTCTTGGTAAATTTCTGACAGAGTGACAGGACTCACAACATTTACCTCTCTGCATGGCAAAGCAGGAAAGTAATTGGGGGGAAGACCCTGTAGGAAGCTTGCTTGATGTAACAGAACCTCCTCACCTGTAAAAAGTTCCCCTCACTTAGGAATTCATCCCATCACATGAAACTTACCAATAACATATTAACTGCACCTTCTGCTCATCAATTTTCCCGAGTTTCCCAAAGAACAGGGAATTAAAAGACAATTTTCAAATACAGTGCCATCAGTGCATTAATTAGGAAAAGAGACCCAGCTCAACACCTAATGACTAAAATTAGTTAAAATTCAAACACTTCAGTCTAGGAACAAATTCTTTTTATTTTTTTTTAAAACCACAGAGAAACACTTTTTTTTTTTAAGTAAAAATTTTAAACGTTCAGTCCTTTCTAGTCTTTGGAAGTAACACTAACTCATTATCAATGCACAGGAAAAAAGGAAAGCTCATTTTAACAGACTTATCCAACCTGTATCAATTTAAATAAATTAATTTATTGAGGGAAATAAACTGCTCTGGCTCTAAAGTTTTCTCCAATTTTTAACCCTCTTAACTCAGGTATCTTACAGTTCATCTTTTCTCAGTCAGTTCTGGCTAAGCACCACTACTGCTAAGATGCCCAGAAAGACAGCAGTTATAATTACTTTTAATCATTATTTTTCTCAAGGATGTACATATTAATTTCTCTTAGTCCATAGATATGCATCTGAAATTTTTAACTGTAAAGATATATTTTTTATCTTTTCCTATTACCAATCAAAAACATTATAAATGAGCAAGCACCATTCATTATCAAGGGGGCAATCATTGCATTTTAAAAGAATTATTATTATGCAATTACTTGAGTCAGTAAACCTTTTTCCAGTGCAGGCAGTACAGTCTCCTTCCAGTACTAATGCAGCTTCCGTGTCTGGATCCCACATTACACCACAGCTAGAGAGAGGCATGCCTTTCTTTATAAAGCATTTTAATGCAAATGTTTCCTTCTTTGCTCTAAATATGGTTACATTAAAACAAAATCAGAAAAAACTCATCTGTAACAAAATCTTGTCTCAGAAACAGCTTTTCAGCTTTGTACCCACGGATGGGGTTGTGACCTTATGAAGCAGCTTCCAGATACAAAAGTTAGCAGCCTGAACAAAGAAATGTTTCTATTGCTAAAATGATTACAATTAAAACTCAATAAAAATCCAACTGAAAGCACAAATCCTGAAAGTCCGAGGCTCTGGACTCAATTCAAAGGCAGAAGACTCCAACAACAGCAAAAGTCAAGATCCTGGGCAGTGGAGAAAAGCAGAACTGAAGAGAAGAGGCGAGGTGGTGTGTCATGAAGTGATGCGGCCATCAGTCACTTTCTCCACAAAGTCTGAGGCAGCAAAGCTGGGTGGCATAGGCTACCTTGCTTCTCTCCTCTTGTTCCCTTACTTGGGCTCATACACCTCTTTAAGACATCAGCCACCTTCTCCAGAACTAACTGGGACGTCAGGAGATGACTGGGGTGTAAATTCAGAGATCCTGGCTTCAAGCAATGATCCCTATTAACAGAAAATAGGTGGGGGAGAGGGGAGAAAAACAAAGAAATAAAGGGAGAAAATTATTTAAAAATACTTAAGCTTGGGGGGAAGTTGGGAAAGGAATGACAACTTAGATTTAGGAGAAATTGTTGCTGGTACCAAGGACTTGATTAGACAGGGTGTGAAAGTGAAGTTACTCCCCAGCCCACAGAGGAATGAACACCTCCTTTTCCATACTTTACAACCCAGAGCTAAGGAAGGACCGATGATGCTTCAATTTCTCCAACGAAACTAAACCAAAAAGTTTAGACCTTATACATAACTAACTTTTCTAACTAAATCGCTATTGAAGAGAAATCCTGAAGGAACATCTTACAAACAAAAGTCAAAACCATCATATTTGGGTTCATCTGTTCATTCACTTAAAACAGTTTTCTGAGTCTCTAGTAAGTAAGCGACAAGGAAGGACACGTGACACAGCTCCCATGTTCACACAGTTGACTTTCTAGCATGGAAAGGAAGATGTACTACACCAGAAAAGGCAGCAAAAGCAAGATCACCTCCAGGTGGGAGACGTGCAATTTTAAAAGTGAGAAGAGTCATTCTGCACAAAAGTTTCACATAAAGTTGAGTTACAGACCCTCAGGAAGGGCGAGAAGCAAGAAACGAGGTGAGATCTGAAAAATACTAACGCTAAAGGCAGCTAACATACAAGAAAGGGCCTTCACTCATGTTACACCTGCCAATCTGCACGACTAGCGTAGGAGAGGTACACTTCTCCCCTCTCTGACCCAGAAGGAATGCCGAGAGAGGCTAAGAAACTTGCCAGGCAAACAGAACTTCTTAGTGGCGGCGTGGGATTTGAAGCCCGGCTCTCTGGCTCTGAACCAGATCTGGCTACCTGTAGTACTATCAGTCCTCCTGACTAACAACGCTGCTGCACGCTGTAGACCCAGGAGTTAAGTGCTTTAGTTGATTTTCTTTAGATACCCACATCTGATTTACAAACGAAAAAACAAGTTACAAGGCGGGGAGGTCCGGATCCGAATCCAGATAGTTCACACTCTGAAGACTCGTGTCGCTGCTCCCCGCAACCCAGCCTGGACTCTGCACCCTCAACCACGTCCCATCCCCTCGGGACGCAGGCAGCACCACCCCTCACAGAGCGCGGGCGACGACCCCCCGCCCCCCGGGCCACCCTCGCAGGGCCAGGCAGGGCAGAGCTCTCACCAGGTGGGAGTCGCGGGACCCTCGCAATCTTGTTGGTGATCTCTGCCGTGAGAACGGCGAAGTCCTGCTCGTAGCCTTCGAAGTCGGACGACATGCTGGCTCCAGAGCGACTGGCCCCGGCTGCAGGTTAGGTGGGGGCGGGGGCCACGCAGGGCACGGAACCGCGGCGCGGGGAACCCCGCAGGTGCCCTCGAGAGCAGAGCGGAGAACCGGGGACAGCTCCCAGCCCAGCCGCTTCCTGGTTGTGCGTTGGGATTTCGGTCCTCCGAAAATTGGCCTGCGTGCAGCTTTTATTTTCCGCTCTGGCTTCAAGAGTCAAAAGTACGCTAAGGAAATGGGCTCTCATTAATGCCCCTAAGAAGGCCGACGAAAAGTAACGCATTCTTGGGGTCTGCCGAAAGCATTTTATCGTCTTCCAAGTTCTGAGAAACGGCTCCGGCTACCTGAGTGCCAGGTCTCAGGCGCCTGCTTCCGGAGGGAACTTTGACGCGGGGAACCTTCCGGAAGTGGCTGGAACGGAGACTGCGCAGGGGCCCTGAGCCGGCGAGGAGCGGCGCGGGCGCAGGAGGAGAGGCACGGATTGCGGGAGAGCCTGTGCCCCAGCCTCAGGCAAACGGGATTTGCTTTCTGCCTGCGGCGGATTGAGGTGTCCATGACGGAGTTACCCGAGAAGGAGAAAACCTGTTCCGGGTGAGCCCAGGCCGCCCCGGAAATGCGATGGCAGTGGAGCGGGCACCCAGGACTAGACTGAGGTGGGGGTCGAGGCAGGGACCCTGACTAGGTGGTGTCGGTCTCTGTCCACGTGGGTGGCGCCCCTGTCTGCGGAGTGTGGAGACCGAGCCCGCTTGCCGGGAAGTTTCTCCCCAGAGCGAGGATTCCGAAGTGCCTTCGCTGCATGCCGAGGCGGGAAACTGAGGCACAGGGCAGTGGGACGCCCTTCAGATCCGTTTATCTCAGATGCGCATTCCAGTCTGGTTAGAAATGCGGTTCTGCAAGTCCCCGGCTCGCAGCCCTGCCTTCCGCTCCTGTTTTCTTCAAACCTAATCACTCACGTCCATTCTCGTCTCCTCCCAGGTCACGATTTCACACACTCCCCTTGCTCTCCGTCTCCCCTCCCCGCCTGGCCTCGCACGCTCTTTGCTTTAGCTCTCGCTTCTCCCTCACCTCGGCCCTACGAGGAGATCGTGGCTGTGTCGGGGGACCGCGGCAGGCACACGGCGTAGCTCGTCCTGCCTGGCTCGCACTTGCCTTGGTCCAAGACTCCCTAAGAGCCCGCTAAGACGCCACAGCACCCCGACTTGGCTTCTCTGGGTTCAGCTGTTGACTTACTCCTGAAGTTGGGCTAATCTCTTAGGCTCGATTAGATCAACCCTAAGGCCCTGCTTGTCAGCTCTAAAAGTCTTTGCCTTCTCCAACTACTCATTAAGCATTGGACAGTCACAGCACCCTGACAAGTTGGGAACAAAAGAATAAGAACAACTGTTTTAGAAACGTGTATTCAGTTTACGTGCCATTCAAACTTGAACCCTATTTTACATAAATTGAAACTTTTTTTTTTGTACATTTGACAAGGTACTCGTCCCATAGCAGTGCCCTTGAGATGATTTTGTTTAGGTGTTTCTTGGAGTTAACAAATACATTATATAGTGAAAATTAACTGGGCTTTCACATTTTGTTTCCTTTAGGTTGAGTTTCCAACCAAGGTGTTGGATCCTTCTAGTTAGGATAAAGAACTCTGAGTTGTTAGCTGTGAAAATGGCGTGATCTGCGTTACCATCCCGCAGTTTGAAGGCATGACAGTTAAGGAACACACGTGGACTTGTGGCACATGGAAATGTGTGCACAGAAAAAGGAAATCTGTAATTCTTTAGAAGTAGGAAGACATTCTTCCCTGCCAAAATGGGTACATTCTGCTCGGTTATCAAGTTTGAAAATCTCCAAGAACTAAAGAGACTGTGTCACTGGGGTCCCATCATAGCCCTTGGTGTTATAGCAATATGTTCGACGATGGCCATGATTGACTCTGTGCTGTGGTATTGGCCCTTACATACAACTGGAGGAAGTGTGAATTTCATCATGTTGATAAATTGGACTGTCATGATTCTTTATAATTACTTCAACGCCATGTTTGTTGGTCCTGGCTTTGTCCCTCTGGGGTGGAAACCGGTAAGATAAAGATTGCTTATGATGATGAACTCTAAGGATAATCTTGTATTTAGTTTTTGCCTTATCTGCTAACCAGTAACATCAAACACAGCCTACTCTTTCCTGATAGAGACTAAGTAGATCAATCACTGATGATTTCTATTCAAATATTGATTTCATTTCTGTTCGAAAATACTGATGTTAATTAATATTTCCCAAAGCAGTTTCATTGAATAAGTTGTCTTACCTTTTTTTTTTTTTTTAATTGGAGGGGAGTGGATGGGTTGCTGGGCCCATGTTTAGGGAAACACTGTGTACCACGTACCTGTGTTGTAATTTCACAGTGTGTTTTGTCTCTAGGACCTTTTTTCACATAATAACATCTCTCAGAGAAAAGGGTCTAGTAACAGTTGGTTTAAGTCATTAATCATGAACCATAAAGTTTTAAAAGTTTTAAAGTTATTGCAGGGAAATTATAACACTGGGCATTAATTAGGTGAATTAATTTAGGACTTCTTAAAAGCTGTTAGAAAGATTCTGCTTAGGACTGTTGGTGTTCCTTGCTGAGGGACATCACTAGGTAGCTTATTAGAAATGCAGATCTTGGGCTCCACTCTAGACCTACTGAATCAGAATCTTCATTTTAACAAAATCCCAAAATGATTGTTAGGCATGTTTAAATTTGAAAAACACAGTGTATACTCTGGGTGGCATACTATTTGGAACAAGTATAGAAGTTGGTAATATAGCAGAGAAACCAGTGCCCCTGGCCAGATAACTAAGTAGGATATGACGAGTGCTGTTGAAGTGTGAAGCACTGAGTGTGTTCTGGGAACCTGTGAGAGGACTGAGAATGAAAAGAGGGCATTAAAGATTGAGAGAAAGTGGGCACACATATTCAGAAATGGGACTGCCTTGTGTGGCTGGAAAAGAGATTATGTAGTGCAGCTAAGACTGCAACAAAGGAAGATCCTGAATACTCAAGAAACTGTTAGACAATAGAGAGTTTCAAGAGATTTCTGTGCTGAGCTCTGGCATACAGGTGTGTCACAGGAATGTGAGTAGTGGTTTGACAGTACACAGTTTGGATGAAAGAGAAATCTCAGTAAAGGAAACCAGGAGGTTATTAAAATGGCCCAAGAGAGGGGAGGTGATGTTGGTAGTATCAAGGAAGGGGCAGATGTCAGAACAAATGTTACCTTGTATACCAGTCCCCACTCTAAAGTCCCACCAGCTCTCTGTGTCTGAACCACTTCAATTCTTAAGATTTGGGCAACTGGAACCAACTAGCGACACTGGATTTGGTGGGAAATGGCAAAAGTAAAAGTGACTTCTGAGTATTTGGCAGAGTGATACTGCTCTCCAGAAATTTTTTTTCTAGAGATATTTTAGCTCAAATAAAAGGAATGGAAGCAGAAGTTAAGAGTCCATCCTTTCCCCATCTCCCATAAAAGCAAATCATTCCATGAGAAAGCTTTTGTTCATCAAGTTTGACTTACTGATTGGGCTCAGGTAACTGATGTAATTTGTTTATATTTTGCTATCAAGGAGAATTCTCAGGATACCATGTATCTCCAGTATTGTAAAGTCTGCCAAGCATACAAGGCACCACGTTCACATCACTGCAGAAAGTGCAACAGGTATTTGTCTTTGCTGTTCGTTGGGGACTGATCAGCTGGATTCCTGGTCTCTTTTTTGATTGCTCTTTCTACCACAACAATATTACTTTTGTTTGTTACAGAGTTGTCACTGCATTAAAAAAAAGTCAAGTTACTTAAGTGTCCGTAATTTCTATTTTATAGATGTTAGATTTCATTTTTGGGGTCATAAGTGAAAAGATTTTTGTAGAAAAATACAGATTTGCTTCTCCCCTTGCCCTGCAAGAGCTGGGTAAAAAGTTATACCTGTAGTTTGTTTCTGTATATGATATCAATGTTGCTTATCAGTTGTGCACTTAGGATTGTTCTGAGTCTGAATTCTAAAGGAGACTTGCTTTTCTGTGACTTATTGACAGACACATTTTGTATAAATCTAGTAAGTGAATGCAGCTGTCTGTTTTCACAAGTGATTTAATACAAACAATATAATGGGAAGAAAACTGAATACCTACCAGAAACATGAAAAAAGCCAGGACTGACACAAAGTTTAGTTTGAGATCAGGAAATTTTCTTCTAGCTACAATAAGGAATTGAGGGCACAGTGAGACTTTCCTTATTATACCAGATTTTACATTATGGAGTTAGCTTGATTGTCTCAAAGATTCCACCACCTAAAAGATACTATGAAAACAGGAAGGAAGGAGGTTATAGTGTCTCTGTGGGCCCATCAACCCCAGTGGAGACTGGTAAGTCATTTTTTGAGTCACTATTGGATTCGACTTCAATCACTTTGTTTCTGTACCAGTGAAAACCCAGGAACCATACTCATTTCTTTATCGTGAACTTGGCAATGGACCTCCTGACTTCTTTACACAAATTCACTTGTAGCAGATGTCTGCCTCAGAAGCTGTTGCACAGCCTACCTTTTCTTGTGTGTTGTTTAGAATTTAAAAGGAGCCCTTGTTCATAATTGTTTAAAAACTCATATTTATCTTTCTGTTCCGTGATGTATAACTCCCCTGTGACTCACAGGCATACTAGATTCCTATCTGCATGAGCTTTGAAAAGCGAGTTATTTATAGTAGACAGGATTTTCTACCTTATGTTTTACGTTAATGTTTTCTCGTTAGATGTGTAATGAAGATGGATCATCACTGTCCTTGGATCAACAATTGTTGTGGTTACCAAAATCATGCTTCATTCACACTGTTTCTCCTGTTAGCGCCACTGGGTTGTATCCATGCTGCTTTCATTTTTGTTATGACTATGTACACACAGCTTTATAATCGGGTAAGTGAGAATCATTCATGCCAGAGTGAGTGATAGTTAACAAGATTCAAGAAGATTCCTTTGGAAATACAAGAGTACTTCAAAAAGTTCATAGAAGAGGGGTATTCAAATGTATTTGAAATCCATGCACAGTTTATTCATAATATACGTTTTCCATGAAAGGAAATTATTCTACATTTTTGAAGATATCTTGTATACATGAATTTCAAAATTTTGGGGGGGCTGGTGCTGTTGTGCAGCAGCAGGTTAATGCCCTGGCCTGAAGCACCGGCATCCCATATGTGTGCCGGTTCAAGACCCGGCTGCTCCACTTCCAATCCAGCTCTCTGCTATGGCCTGGGAAAGCAGTAGAAGATGGCCCAAGGCCTTGGACCCTGCACCTGCGTGGGAGGCCTGGAGGAAGCTCTTGGCTCCTGGCTTCGGATCTGTGCAGCTCTGTCCATTGCTGCCAACTGGGGAGTGAACCATCGGATGGAAGACCTCTCTCTCTCTCTCTTTCTACCTTTCCTCTTTCTGTGTAACTCTGACTTTCAAATAAATAAATAAATCTTTAAAAAAAAATTTTTTTTGCAACAGGGTAAACATATCTTTATTCCATTTTCCACTATTTTGTGAGGCACCCCCTATGCTTTCTGTGATTTAGCTGGAGCACCAGCGAGACAGACAAAGAGAGATCTTCCATCTGCTGATTCACTCCCTAAATGCCCACAACAGCTAGGGCTGGGCCGTGCCCAAGCTGGGAGCTGGAAACTCAGTCAGGCACCCAAGCACTTGAGTCATCATCCCAAGGTACACCTCCCAGGGTGCACATTAGCAGGAAGCTGGGTTGAAAGCTAAGGATCTGGAATCCCAGCCAGGCACTCTGGTATGGAGTGCAAGCAACCGAAGCAGGCCTTAACCACCGGGACCACTGTGCTGAATGCCTGTACCTTGGCCTTCATTTTTCCAGTTGTTTTTTTTTTTTTAAGGTTTATTTATTTTGAATATGAGAGTTAACAGAGAAAGAGAAGGAAAGAGAGAGTTCTGTCTACTGGTTTACTCCGCAGATGGCCCCAGAGGCCAGCATTGGGCCAGGCAAAATCTAAGAGCCAGTAGCTTCATCCAGATCTCCCACATGGGTGGCAGTGGTCCAGACACTTGGGCCATCTTCCTCTGTTTTCTGCAGGCCATTAGCAGGGAGTTGGATCAGAAGTGGAGCAGTGCTAGCGCACAAACTGATGCCTGTATGGGATGCTGACGTCACAGGTGGCAGCTTTACCTGTTACACCACAATGCTGGCACCATTTTACCAGTTCTTAATCATTCATTGTGGAACATGAAGGAAGAAGCAGCTGAATCTTAGGCTATATTTGTTGCTGTGGAAAAACACAATAAATATATACTAGCAATATGAAGAAGGGAAACAGTTACAATTTAGATTGGTGTCTGGCATTGTTGATGCGTAATGTTTGTGAAGTCTACCTCACATAGGAGAAAGTGAAGAATGGTATCATGTGTGGTATTCATTATTAGTATTTAGGTTTGCTGTATTTGCTTTGGCCACAGTCTAGTTACCATCTTTTTGATCATGTTGTTCTAAATGTGGTAGCAGAGTCTGCCCAGTTACTGCAAGCAATTGTTCTAAGTGTGTTTGTTCCTTGTAGCTCTCCTTTGGGTGGAACACAGTGAAGATTGATATGAGTGCAGCCCGGAGGGATCCTCTCCCAATTGTTCCCTTTGGATTAGCTGCGTTTGCTGCCACCTTGTTTGCCTTGGGATTAGCTTTAGGAACCACTATAGCTGTTGGCATGTTGTTTTTTATCCAGGTAAGTTTCTTGGTTACCTCTAGCTAAAAGTTGTCAAATTATTGGGCTTACTGCAATGAGAAAGAAAGGCGTGCCTAACTATGCAGTATGAAATTGGAGTTGTTTTTACTTATTCCATCTAGGTAGCCAGTTGATGTCCTTGGTACTAGACAAATTACTTTGAAGTAATTCTGCCAGAGTTTGTGGGTAATTGATTATTTTTTAAAATATGAACTTAGAATTGTGTAGCACTTTATAGTTGCAAAAGTACTTCCCACAATTACAGTCTCTAGATCTTCACATCAACCCAAAAGAGGTTGACAGAGGAATATTACTGTTTTTCCTCCTTACACATGAGCAGTTGGTTCTCAGATAGGTTAGCAGCTTACCCAAAGTCACTCATTTGTATATTTAGTAAACCTAATGATTAATATTCTATGATAGTATGTATTTAGCAATAAGTCAATATAATACAGGTACTTTTATGGAACACTTACTATATGAAAGGCACTGCAGGTCTTTATACATATAGCTCATTTAGTATCCATAACATCCCTAAGATAATATGTACTGCTTGCTCTCTACTCTGTGATGAGTTACTCTGCCTATTTCCTTTTTTTTTTTTTTTTATGTTTATTTACATCTCCTTGAAAGGCAGAGACTGATATGTAGAGATGTCTTCTATCTACTGGTTCACTCCCCAAACATCTGCAACAGCCAGGGCTGGGCCAAGCTGATGCCAGTAGCCCAGAACTCCATCCAGGTCTCTCAGTAGATGCTAGGGGCTCAAGTACCTGGGCCATGACCTGTTGCCTCCCAGGATGCATTAGCAGGAACCAGATTGGAAGTGGAGCAGCCAGGGCAGCTTAGCCTGCTACACACCACACCAGCCCCATAGTCTGCTGACTTTTGAGGCTGCAATAATGAAAATGAAGAGGTTCCTGCCTTTAGGGAACTCAAAATTAATAAGTGAACAGTCTAATACAAGGTCATACCTACATCATAGATTTATGTACAAAGTTCTGGGAGAACAAAGGAAGATGACTTGTCTCTGAAGGGATCAAAAATACAGTTCGTATGATTCAAGGATCTTGACTAAAATCCTAGATCCAGATTTGACTGTGTGTTGGTGTAATCATTCTTACAGAGGCATTGTCATGCAGTGGTTAAGAGCAAGGACTGTGGAGTCAGGTGGGCCGTATACTGGTGACCTAACCCTTAGCATTCTCAGTGTCTTCAGCTATCTCACAGGATTATTGTGAAGGTGACCTTCAGTAAACTGGTCACATTATAAATTTTCCATCATTTATTTTCCAGATGAAAATAATTCTCAGAAACAAAACTTCTATTGAATCATGGATTGAAGAGAAGGTAAATTTTAATCATTGTTTCCTCAATATTAAAGTACTAATTACCTAAATAAGTACTGCAAAGTGAAAACCTGGCTACCAGAGGGCTTCATTAAGTCATCTGTATGTCACTTAAGAGGGAATACAGTGGCATTTGATTGACTCCTGCTTTAACCTACACCCTGCGCTGCTTCTCAGAGCCTCACGATCACTGTTTAGCAAAATACCAACGCCTGCAGGGGCCAGACAGGTAACCGAAGTGAGGGCACCCAGCTTGTATACCAGAGCACTGACTGACAGGCTGATGGTTGCCATGGCAGGGAATATTCACCCAATATTATAGACTCCTTCAATTTTTTTTCCAAGTTAGAGATCTAGATTCCTGTGTGGTCTCCTCTTAGTTTTTAAATGTTAACAAGCAATAAAGTGAAAAACCAAAAAAAAAGAAAACCTTTTGTGAGCCAAATACAATATTCATAAAAATAATACAATATTTAAACACTTGGCAGCCAGTTTGTAAACTTTAGTTTACAACAACAGTTTTCAAACTTTTTGGTCTCCCTCTTGTAGTCTGCAGACTTGTTAAGACACCGAGTAACTCATTTATTTGTATTTTATCCACTGACACAAGTATTTGCCATATTTTCTAAGTGAGATCATTTTATTTTATTTTTTTTATTTTTATTTTTTGAAGGCAGAGTGGACAGTGAGAGAGAGAAACAGAGAGAAGGGTCTTCCTTTTCCGTTGGTTCACCTCCCAATGGCCGCTGCGGTCAGCATGCTGCAGCCGGCGCACCACACTGATCCGAAGCCAGGAGCCAGGTGCTTCTCCTGGTCTCCCATGCGGGTGCAGGGCCCAGGCACTTGGGCCATCCTTCACTGCACTCCCGGGCCACAGCAGAGAGCTGGACTGGAAGAGGGGCAACTGGGACAGAATCCGGCACCCTGACTGGGACTAGAATCCGGTGTGCCGGCGCCACAGGCAGAGGATTAGCCTATTGAGCCATGAAGTGAGATCATTTTAAAAGGCTTATTTCACTTAGTAATAATAGCCATTATGTTAATTACATTTTTTTTTTTTTTTTTTGACAGGCAGAGTGGACAGTGAGAGAGAGAGACAGAGAGAAAGGTCTTCCTTTGCCGTTGGTTCACCTTCCAATGGCCACCGCGGCCAGTGCGCTGTGGCCGGCGCACCGCGTTGATCCGATGGCAGGAGCCAGGAGCCAGGTGCTTCTCCTGGTCTCCCATGGGGTGCAGGGCCCAAGCACTTGGGCCATCCTCCACTGCACTCCCTGGCCACAGCAGAGAGCTGGCCTGGAAGAGAGGCAACCGGGACAGGATCCGGTGCCCCGACCGGGACTAGAACCCGGTGTGCCGGCGCCGCTAGGCAGAGGATTAGCCTAGTGAGCCGCGGCGCCGGCCTGTTAATTACATTTTAATGAGAAATAGTTATATTTCCCAAATTAAGAGTTGGCTTTGTTTTATGTTTTTACAAATCTCTTTAATATCTGACTTAACAGAAGACAGTTGGATTCTCACATCTACTTCTGCATTCAGTCTGTTGAGATATGTTCCTTTGATTGAAGTTTATGAAGAAAATCCAGCCTCACACAGATAAGTAGGTAGTAAAGGGTAGAGTATTTTAGTAGGCCTTTTAGATGATGGTGATATTCTTTGATACTACATTAAAATTTGACAGGATATTTCTTGTCAATAAACTTTTTGTAACATTTACCTGAAAAATCCATCAGTCTCTCTTACTCTGTGAATGGATCTTTTATCAATACACGGTTTTACAGAACATGAAGCATTGTTTATAAGGAAAAATAATGATTTACTGGTTAAACATGCAGATTTTCCAAATGTTTACACTTACACTTTACACTATCCAAAAATCTCATTTATTCATATCACTATCAATTTTATGGGAAAATTTTTAAATATTGAAAAGCTGTCAAGCTTTCCAGTTTTCTAATTTAATTTGAATGCCTTAATTTTTTTTAAAGATTTATTATTTGAAAGGCAGAGTTGCAGAGGCAGAGAGAAGTCTTCCATCCACTGGTTCACTCCCCAAATCGATGTAATGGTCAGAGCTGGGCCAATCTGAAGCCAGAAGGCAGGAGCTTCCTCCTGGTCTCCCACATGGGTGCAGGGACCCAAGCACTTGGGCCATCCTCCACTGCTCTCCCAGGCCATAGCAGAGAGCTGGATCAGAAATGGAGCAGCTGGGAGTCAAACTGGTGCCCATATGGGGTGCCAGCATTGCAAGCAGCAGCTTTACCTACCATGTCATAGCACTGGCGCCTTCCCTCCCCCCAGTTTTTCTTTGTGTATCTTGTTGATCTCTGTTGAAATTCAGTCCACTTTGAACACTGATGCTTTCCTTTATAAAAGTGAAAAAGAAATTACCCTCTACTATCTAGGTGAGAAAGGAGTTATGATAATAGATTCATTCATGTTATACCTTGACAATTCTTTCAGTAAACCATGAATGTCAATATTACTTTATAAAGTACTGCAATAAGTTTTTTCATAAAATACTGATAATCTAGTATTTCAAAGTATCAGTTCTAGTAAACATAATAAATAATCAGTAGATTAACCTTTTTTCTTGCCAATGACGAAGGTTCTTTATAAAGTACCATGCTAAATCTAAAAGTTATTTTAAAACAGGTACTTTATTATTGAGTCAATAATTTAAATAAATCATCACGAAATTTATAGAAATTACCAGACAATAAAATACAACAAATGTCAAAAGTTTTGATACACTCGTTATTGGAATACTGTATCTTTGTACCACTAGGTGTCAGCAGAACATAAGAAATTCAAAGTCAGTTTATGTTAAAGCTAACAAGTTAAATGCCTAGGATATATAATTTATACAAGCCAAATAACTTATATAAATTGGTGATGGTGTTAAACATGAAGACTTCCTGTACCTATGTACTATTTATTTCTTTATTTTAAAATTTATTTGAGAGGCAAAAAGAGTGAGCCCCCTGATTTACTCCCCAAAAGCCCACAACAGCTGCGGGTGGGCCAGGTCAGAACCAGGGGCCAGACACACAGCTCAGGTCTCCCAGATGAGTGGGAGGGAGCCCACCTACCCGAGCCATTGCCTGCTGCCTCCTGGGGCTCACGTTAGCATGAAGGTAGAATCAGGAGTGGGGACGGGAATCCAGTAACTGATATGGCATGTGAGTATCCCAAGTGCTCTCTTAACTGTTAAGCCCAAAGTGCTTCCTTCCCTCCTTGCTAAATTTTTTTTTTTAAAGATTTTTTTATTTGAAAGGCAATGTTACAGAGAGAAAAGAAGAGACAGAAAAAGAGAGCTTCTGTCCACAGGTTTACTCCCCAAATGGCCACAGCAGTGGAGCCTGGGTGAGGCTGAAGCCAGGAGTCAAGAACTTCCTCCAGGTCTCCCACATAGATATAGAGGCCTAAGGACTTGGGCTATCCTCTGCTGCTTTTCCCAGGCTCTTTAGCAGGGAGCTGAATGGGAAGTGGAGCAGCCAGGACTTGAACTCCTGCCCATGTGGGAAGCCGGTGCTGCAGGCCGTGGTTTAACCGCTGCACTACAGCACCAACCCCCCACCCCCACCCCATTAAATTTTTAAAAATGTTTATCATAAAATCATGGCTCCCTTTTTAAACCTTTCCTGGCCATTCCTGTAGGTGACACTGCCACACCTGGGATGAATGCCTTGTATTCTGCACCCCACAAACAGTTCCATTCTCAGTAAATGCTTTCTCCTGAATCTGTTTATCGGTGTCCCTTCCTTACACATGGATTCTATCAGCTGTTGGAATACTTATTCTTAATAAAAGCTTTTCATATATTTTCTAAGCAGTTGCATACAAAGTTGGTGTTCTGTGTCAAGTTCTTCCTATATTGTGATAAAATTTTATATCCCTTCTGTGCAAACTAACATAACAGCAGGGATGTTTTTATGCATGATACAAATTGAAGGAATAAATGTTCATTACTGAAAGCCATGTAAGGTAGAGGCATTTGCCATTTTACATCTTTGTTACCCACAGGCTAAAGATCGAATTCAATATTATCAGCTAGAAGAAGTCTTTGTTTTTCCTTATGATTTGGGAGATAGATGGAAGAACTTCAAACAGGTATTTACCTGGTCAGGGGCCCCTGATGGAGATGGACTGGAATGGCCAATACGAGAAGGCTGTCACCAGTATAGCTTAACAGTGAGTATTTTTGTTCCAGCAATCTCTCCCCTCTGCTTCCTCATCTTGCCATTAATTCCCCTGGACTCTGGTGACATTTTATAGGGAGATATGTAATACAAATATTTCCAGTATGTCAGATGAATTCAAGTGAATAGTCCTGAAGTGCACCTTGTGTTGTATTTCTTCCTTTGTTTAAATCTCTCCTTAATTCCATACCTGTGACATAAAGAACTGATTCCTTAACTTAGTTTTATAAAATCTGGCCTAACACTACCTTTTAACTTGCAATATTATGTGAGCTCATGTATGTTCCTGCCACCTAACTTTGCCCACAATGTTTTCCACCCCCAATGTGCTCTCTATCTGAATGTAAGAGTAGTTCCATTCCCATTGCTTCCATAAAGTCTAACCTACCCACTCCAGACTCATCTGGACCTGGATCTTAACCCTGTACTACTGCATGGTAGCTCACACTGTCTCAACTTCTGATTTCATTCTTGTATCTTACATCTTCTGTCTAACTTGTCAAGATTCTAGGACAGAGATCCTGTGCTATCTTTATTTGCCCTACTATGTCTAATCCTGTACTATTAAGTAATTGCCAACTAAGTGGAAAAAGTGAGTTGTAGTGATAATTTTTAGTCAGAACTCCTTGTTGGTAAGTGTTTGCAGTTTGCGACTTAGGTGGTAGCTTGGACGCTTCTTGAGGGCAGAAAACCCATCTCCTGGCTGCTGGGCTCCAGTGAGTACTCTCAGAATATGGAGATGAAGGCATGGAGGAGGGGACCTTGGGAAAAAAATGCCCCATCTTGGCCCCTGGATCTTATAGCCTTCGTGCCATGCTAAAAAGTCTTGCGGCCTTTAAGTTGTCAGTAGTATGACGTGGTGGAAAATTGGGAGTTAGTCATGTCACTCTGAGACTGGGAGGGTAAACTGTTTTTCAACACTGAGAATAGAGACTTAATTGTTCCTTTTATGTCTTTCAAACAGATAGAACAGTTGAAACAAAAAGCAGATAAGAGAGTCAGAAGTGTAAGTAACTCTTCTGTAATACTAATTGCTGTTTTCTTTGGTCAGGCTCTTACACCTCTGAGTAGTTTTTAAAAATTACCTTTAGGTAGAAACCAACTAATGGCTTTTATTAAATAATAGTCCTTGGTATGTTTATTGAAATTTGATGTTCCAGTCCAGCTCTCTGCTGTGGCCCGGGAAGGCAGTGGAGGATGGCCCAGGTACTTGGGTCCTGCGCCCTCATGGGAGACCAAGGGGAGGCACCTGGCTCCTGGCTTCGGATCAGCACAGTACACCAGCCACAGTGGCCATTTGGGGGGTGAACTAACGGAAAGGAAGACCTTTCTCTCTGTCTCTCTCTCTCACTGTCTAACTCTACCTCTCAAAAAAAAAAAAAAAAAAAAGAAATTTGATGGGATTCACTTTTGTTTTTCTTTAAATAGTTGAGACTGGATATTTGTAGGGAACTTTGTCAATTTAAATTACCAACAAAGAAAAGTAATTATCCCCAATATAGCTCCTTAGGATGAAATGGATCCTTTCTACTATACTGTTGGATATGATGACCACTGGTGGCTATTTAAATACAGATTAATTAAAATCAAATGAAAAATTCAGTTACTCATTTGTACTGGCCACATTGTAAGTGTTCAATAACTATATGTGTCTAGTGGTTTCCCCATTGAATACCACAGACATAGAACAAAGAGGACATGTCCCTCATTGCAGAAAGTTGTCTTAGATGGCACTGACCAAGAATTTAATTCTTGGTACCTTTGAGCTTCAAATGAGGGGCTGGAGGCAATATTGTGGTGCAGTGGGTTAAGCTGCCACTTGAGATGCCAGCATCCTATATCGGAGTGTTGCTTTGTGTCCTGGCTGCTCCACTTCCAATCCACCTTCCTGTGAATTCACCTGGGAAGGCAGCAAAAGATGTCACTAGTACTTTGGTCTCTACCACTTATGTGGTAGACCAGGATGACATACTGGGGTCCTGGTTTTGGCCTGGCTCTGATTTGGTTATTGCATTTAGAGAGTAGACCACCAGATGGAAGACCTCTCTCTCTCTCTCTCTCTCTGCTGCTTTGCCTTTCAAATACATACATTAAAAAAAAAAAGAAATGAATAGTAGGAAGAGCCTGGGAACTGGAGCCATCACTTACCTCCTGTAAGAGAGATAGGAGGATGGGTAACTGGGAAGGGAGGCTTGTCACACCCCTAAAAATTTAAACTTAAAAATTCATATGTGTAAATACTCAAATTGTCCCTCTGATCCCTGATGACAGGTTCGCTATAAAGTAATAGACGATTATAGTGGTGCCTGCTGTCCTTTGAACAAAGGAATTAAAACCTTCTTCACGAGCCCCTGCACTGAGGAGCCTCGAATACAGCTGCAAAAAGGGGAGTTCATTTTGGCCACGAGAGGTTTACGGTAAGTGACGAGAAGTACTGCATTTCTTCTTTAATGACAAAACTGACACTGAGCCTTAAAAAATTAATTTTAACCGTTTAAATATTTCAGATACTGGTTGTATGGAGACAAAATTCTTGATGATTCCATTGTAGAAGGTATGGAAATGAAAGGGTGTGTTTAAAGGACAAAACTGCTAGCAATAATTTCAAATTATATAGGAGTAAGTTTTATGAATAGTCACACTGAAGATTCATCAAGGGAATGCCATAGGAGGGCATATCATTAAGCGCCAAAAATGTTCCTTCTGTGTTTCTCCATAACAGTGTACTTAGCAGGTCTTTTTAATGATGACTAACATTTGAGCTCCTACCTCATTGTGTGATAGGCACTCGTGTTAGTGCTTCATTTGCGCTATTGAACTCCTCAGCACACTTCTCTACCTAGTCTGCGTAGGTACAAAGGTACATTTGAAAGTTCATGGAAAATGGAATGAAAATGTAAATTCATTTTAGTGCAAAAAGATTTTGAAATCCACTATCTAGTTCCTGGAACACACAGTGTATGTATACAAGTGAAACTTGCCTGTCTTCAGGTAAGGGCTGTCCTGAACCACATTTCAGAGAACAGAATTTGGTAAATCATCTGTTTTCTAGCTTGTTTGGAACACTTAAAAACCACCCCCCCCCCCCATCAAGCTGTGGTTATAATAGCTTGTAAAGGAGGAAAAAAGATCTAACTTCGTTCATTTGAAATAACGGGATATCGATCTCAGTAATGTTCCTGCAGTGCATTTGACCACTTCATCAGTTTCATCTTCTCCCGCAGGTGTTTCAAGAATCAGAGGATGGTTCCCGAGAAACTGCGTGGAAAAGTGTCCCTGTGATGCAGAAGCAGATCCGGCCCCCGAGGGCGAGAAGAAAAACAGATAGCCACCGTAAACGTGAAATGATGCTTTAAAGCTGCTTTATTACTTGAAAATTGTACATAATTACTCAAGAATTATGCAAAGAGCCTACTCTGGTGAAGGTGTTCTTTTCCTCAAAGGTGCCCTAGTGCCATGATCTAAATATTTTTATTACCATTTTGAAATGGAGAAGCCATTCTGCATATGCCTTTGAATCCTACTCCTTTTCACCACCTTTTCTTCTGCCCCAAAGGGAAAACCATTTCACCCAGTAAGTCAGAATTGCATTTCCTCTAGGATGTTTTTATGCACTGCACACTCTGGACCTCACCTGCAGATGGAGTTCCCTCTTTGCCAGGAGCAACTGCATGTGAAGCTTTTATTTCCCCCTCGGTTGATATTTCTTACATAATATTCTAGACCCTGTAGATCTTAATTTGTCAGATTCAATATAAGCTCAGATTTTGTTACCTGTCTTTTAATAATGCAGATTTTGTCAAATCAAATAAAGATTAATGGATGTTCTGTAAAAGTCATAGTCGTATTTTTCTTGTTGCTGACTGAAAGATCTGTATTAGTTCCTTAAGGGAAAACTGCTCTGTTACCATGTAAAAAAATGACATCTTGAATAATGAGTCTTAAGACAGGACATATTCACTTCAATACCATGTGCCCTGTTAACAGCATATTGAGTTCCCAGTAGTGTAGGTGACTTTCACCCTGGTGACATCAAACTGCTCAAAAAACATGAACATATCAAAAACTGAAGCCTGTATAAGTAGTAGGATCCAAGCTGGTGGACTCAAATGCTTGAGGTTGGGCTTATTAAAAATACATGTTAAATCACGGAAGGAAAGAGAAAGCCTGTTTCTCTGGATTGTAGCAGCCTAGTCCAGTCTTGATTTATTCATTCCAAGGCAGGGAACTTGAAGCTTTGGAGGTCAGGCTTGTAATAATTACAAATATGGGAAGAGCATTTGGAGATAACAGCAGTGAAAGAAATATTATTCTGTCCCATTCCACTAGAAGGGGAGGGGCAACAGGAGTGGGAGAAGGCAGTCAGATGAGTAAAATAGATCAAATGGAGTCATTTATTAGGAAGAAAGAAAGTAGCATGTGAAGCAGATGAGGGACAAATTACATTTTAGATAAAGGGAACAGCAAGAACAAAAGCAGGCTGGAAGGTGCCTGGTATGTGTGGGGAACAAGAAGGCAGCCTGTGAGGGTCAGCTGGAATGAGTGAGGCAGGAATGGGAGAAGTCAGAAGATGATGGGAGACAGACCATGGAGGGCTCTGCGAGTGAATTCCTCATTCCCTTTTGTTTCAGATACTCAAGAATAGACATTTCTTGAGCTTTTCTGAGCTCAGAGTCTAGAAAGACAAACCGAGAACATTCTCCTTGTCTCCAGTTAGAGGCCGCAAAGGAATACTGTTCAGGATCACCTAGAGTACAACAAGGATGATAAAGGAGGAAGGATATGAATTGTGCTCAGTTGGACTCATGGTTTGCTGGTCTTTGTCCTATTATTCACAGCTATGGGGTAAGAAGGCCTGGTCCTCTCAACTTTTACTTCAGTAGTTATCAAACCTGTTTGACTGGAATCATCTTGGAACTTATTTTTTTTTTTTTTAACAGGCAGAGTGGACAGTGAGAGAGAGAGAGAGAAGGGTCTTCCTTTGCCATTGGTTCACCCTCCACTGGCCGGTGCGCTGCGGCCGGTGCACCGCACTGATCCGATGGCAGGAGCCAGGTACTTCTCCTGGTCTCCCATGCGGGTGCAGGGCCCAAGCACTTGGGCCATCCTCCACTGCACTCCCTGGCCACAGCAGAGAGCTGGCCTGGAAGAGGGGCAACTGGGACAGAATCCGGTGCCCCAACCGGGACCAGAACCTGGTGTGCCGGCGCCACAAGGTGGAGGATTAGCCTAGTAAGCCGTGGCGCCAGCCTCATCTTGGAACTTTTTAACAGTTCTGGAGCCCAGGCAGAACCCTAACCATTTAAATCAGAACCCCTGGGCAGCACCAATCATGGATGTCTTGTTAAACTTTCTAGGTAATTGTGGCACACAGTCAAGCTTGAGAACCACTAGTTTACTTGATTTTTAGGTAATCGTTTCACCATGGCCCATAAAACAACAAATACCACAGCATAGTATCTGCAATAGTTTATTGTGCAGACTTGACAAGTAGAAGAAGCACTTATTATCTGGGGGTAAGGTACAGTAGGAACTGGAGTCCAGGGGCAAAGATCAGTTGGTTCCTTCACAGAAGATAAGCCTGTTATGTGGGTATCAGGTTTACCCACAGATCTTTTTTCCCAGTGCAGCAGGTTTGTATTCAGTGTTTGCTTCATTTACTGGAAAAGTTCACTGGACATAAGTTTCAACTGCTTCCCCCACCGCTTCCAGCTCAGCAGCAAACTGTAGGGAATAGATTTTGTCACCAGCTGCTCTGTGGCTAACAAGGTAAGAACATCGTTCTTTTTGGATAACTTCTCATAGGCCCATTTTTTATATTCCCAAGTCAGAGGTCTAGCTAGAGAACTGAGAAAATGTTCAGGATTATCACACTTTTCCCTTTTGTACACAGACTTTAGTGAACACAGAAGGAATTCACCTCACAGTAACATCATAAGTTAAAACTCACTAAAAATGATGGTTTTGTGGAGTAGCTGGACAATAAGAATTAGAAACAGCTTTTCAGGACACACAGATCTCTTATGTAGAATACCCATGTAAGTGCTGGGACTGGTAGCAAGTTAGGTTTGCTATAAAACAACATGGAAGAAGTCTCAGAGTCCCCTAGGCCCTGAAACTGGGAGTAACAAAAAAAAACTGTATTTGGGCTGGCATCATGGCATAGCAGGTGTGACATAAATAAATCTCAAGAAAAAAAGGAAAAGGACATCATTAATGTTGAAGATCACCAAACACAAACTGGGAACTTGAAAGAAGACATGTTGATAAAAATCACCCTAAAACAATTTTTAAAATATTAACAGCATTTAAGATGAGAAGGACAGGATTGAATTATTTCAGGGTTGTTTCTATATTGTAATTCTGTCATATAATTTTAACAAAAGCTCTATTTTTATAGTAGGTAGAACAACAGGAGGGAAGACAAAATGAATGTAAGAATAGTTTTTAATCCATATTCTCACAAGGCAGCACCAAGTGGGTGGGCAGGCAGCATCAAGCCTCTTCCAACTGTATGTACCTTAACCTACTCCTGGATAGTCTCATACAGGCTGTCGATTTGCTTCCGAAAGTATTTGGAAAGCTCTCCACGCTTTGCTTTCAGTGTTGGTGTCAAGAGCCCGTTTTCAATGGAAAATGGCTCTGGATGAAGAAAGATCGTTTTGACCTGGAAGATGAGATGAACACACACACATAGCTATTTGTTAGAGATTTGGACTTTTCTACATAGCCCTCTGAGTGCCATGTGAAGAACTCGGCCATGGTAGGACAGCAAGGAGAACAGAAACACATCCCATTCTCATGCACTTATAATTTGGGAAAGGAATGAGTAGAGAATGGAGTTTGGATAATGAAGAATAAAAAGGAACTGTACAAGATATTACAGAAGGTTACTGCCATTTGCAGTGAATGGCACACAATCTAAAATCCCTTCCTTGGGAATTATGTATGTAAACCATTTTTTTTTTTTTTACAGGCAGATTTAGACAGAGAGAGAGAGAGAAAGGTCTTCCTTTCTGTTGGTTCACCCCCAAATGGCCACTGCGACCAGCGCGCTGCGCCAATCCAAAGCTAGGAGCCAGGTACTTCCTCCCGGTCTCCCATGTGGGTGCAGGGCCCAAGCACTTGGGCCATCCTCCACTGCCTTCCCGAGTCAGAGCCGAGAGCTAGACTGGAAGAGGAGCAACCGGGACAGAACCGGCGCCCCAACCGGGACTAGAACCTGGGGTGCCGGCACCACAGGCGGAGGATTAGCCAAGTGAGCCATGGCGCCAGCTGTATGTTAACCAATTATAAATGGAACTTTAATTAAATATCCTAGTGTGATCTGAAAGACCAGGATAACATTAGCAGTATGTACCTGTTCAAATGATTTAAGACCATTTTCTTTGCCAGTTTTCTGCAGGTCTTCTAAAATGGCCTCTTTTATAGCCTAGGAATATAAAAGAGTGCTTAGAACACAGTTGTTTTATAAAGGGCCTAAATGAAGCATGAATCAACTCAAAATTCCCATAAAAGCAGATCAGGATAAAAGCAGGGTATAATAGAATGTATATACACATTATATACCTAATATTTATCAAAGAAAAATAGGAAGAAGGGGCACAACTAAATGTTAATGTGGAGGGCATTTTTTAATTATCTTTTTTTCCAATCATCCCCCAACAATTTTGTTTTTGAAACTCCCCATTCTAGCCCAGTCTAATAAAACCCTTTAATCTGTTTGGGCTTCAGCCACCTGTCACAGATGCAGGAAGAGTGTTCCTCCAGAGACGTAGCTATGAGAAATTAGAGGAGCCTCAGCTACTAGGACATCCTGTTCCTCATGATGGCCACATGCAGGTGCCTGAAGCTTTCCTAAGCCATACTTACTTGGTTTTGGCACAGTTCTTCAAGGGAGCCCTTAACTCCAAGCTTGGCTGCAAATGGGGGGAGCATATCTGGGTCAGGAACCACCACTCCCACTAAGGTTGACTATGGAAAGGAACAAAGACACAAGGGCACATGAGAACTAGCATAGGGATGTCCCCCTTGTGGGTAGAGGCAGCAGGGTTCTATCACTGTAACCGGTGTTCCCCCCAGATCTCAAGTCCAGTACTAGTGACCTACTCTTTTCTCACTATTTATTTCAAATCCCATTTTCCCATTCACCATCTTATTACAAAGATGTTCCATCCAAATTTGTTCAGCATTAACCATAAAACATCTCTGTCTTGTCCACCCCTCCCTCCCTGCCCCCCTGCCCTGTCAAAAGCTAAGTTTAAGTACATTACACAGAAAAGTTTGTTAGGCCAGAGGAATTCCTGTTGGAGTGGATACTAAGTACAAAATGGGTTTTTTATTTTTACTGAAAGACTTTCATTTACCCTAACTATTTTAACAATTCTATTGACTTGTTTAGAGTCTTTCATAGTTTCAAAAGAATTTTTTCCCATTTGCATTGCCTTATTTGAGGTTTGGAATGTAGCTTCATTTCTTTAGTTATCCAAGCTAGGATCATCTCACCCTGAACCCACCTATACAGATTTCCTGTAGCTACAGGAACCAGCATAAGCTTGAAGATGGCTTTTGTTAAAACGATATATTACCCGTAAGCTGTCCCCATGTACAAAGATTTGTGACACCAATCTACTCCTGATATAGATGTTTTCTATCTTCTCGGGAGCAATGTATTCTCCTTGGGCCAGCTTGAAAATGTTCTTTTTACGGTCAATGATCTTCAGAGTTCCGTTCTGTATGAGACAAATAAAATCATCAATATTTTTGAACCCTAGGGATGGTGTTAGCAGGGAGAGAGTACAGAAGTGACAAGTCTCTTCTTTAAAAAGCTGATTT